ATGGGAAAATTAAAGAACAATAAACTCGGTGAGAAATGCTATTTCAATATCTTTTTGTGTTGCCATATATTCATTACAACAGTAAAAACTAAATTAGTAAATTAAAACTAAAAATATAAAGAAAGAAACACTTTCGGCTGTTATTGTTTTAAATAATACCCTATTAATTAATAAGCGGACCCTATTTTACAACATCATAAATTATCTTTCTTTTGTAGTAATCTTGACGTAATCTGATTTTGCAGCAGTAGACTAGCGGAAGATATTTCATCTCTAGGCATTTAAAGAAAGACAGAACATTTGATTATTCCATGATTTACATAAAAATGATAAAATTGTGAATAATAACGGCGTTGTTACATATCCAAAGTAAATGAAAAAATTCTTTCAGAGCGTTAATTATATGCATAAGAATTTACCAAATAGAAATATGTTGTAATGGTTATTTTTCATACCTTATCTTGAAAGAGACAAAGGTTTATATGATCACAATCAAATCCATAAAAATAATGTTCAATAATTAACCACCGGTTCTTCCTATATAAAAATATATCATCGTGAATTGTTAAAGTATCTTCCCAACGGCTGGATAGTACAAATAATTTTTGTTTCGGATACGTTCAAAGTTTTCATTTTTCTAATGCTAATTTTTAGATAATCTATGAAATATCTAAAAATATAATTCTAATGCTAAAATATTCGATATTGGACGATGTGAAGTATTAAACAATGGCAAGTTAGTTTTATAGGGATGATTAAATTAAATCAAATTTTAATAGCGAATACCATCTATTTCGTAACTACGATAACTCTTTCCTTTTAATCTATTTTAATATTTAAAATAAAAATCTGTGCACAGCTGTTTTCCATTAGCTCTATCCCATCATTAACTTTAAATTTTAATAAATTTATTAAATCTTATAGGCTAAGTAAGAACAATGCCGAATAGGCACAGGATAAATTAATCTTTTGATAATGATTTTGCTTGATTAATTTTAGTCTTTAATTTTAAATTTGCCCTAGCCTCCTTTCTAGCCTTCGATTTGTCAATTTGACCATCCACGGCTAGGCTGGAATTAGACTAATATCGAAATAAAAGTAAATTTCAAGAGAGATTTAATGTCTATTCTGAAATTAATATCATTGTAATACCAAAATTAAGCACTATTCTCGTTCCAAAATAGAAAATGATGCCATTGATACCAGAAATGATACATGTTTTTGTAAAGAAGTTTAGTCTGTCCAGCTACAACAAATCTATTATAGTAGATTATCGTTTAAATTTTAATACGACAGTACTCGAGATATTGTAAGAATAAAACATTATTTTGTAGTAGATAAAATTAAATTCCTTTTACCACTACAATGAAATTTGACTACTGCCTCACTATCCCATCATATTTGCAACAGCTCAAACGGTAAGAATCAAACTTGTAATTTAAACAAAATTAAATTTTTACAAAAATTTCATTATACGCTCAAAATTTTATTCTATTGATCAGAATTTTGTTGCATTGAAATTTGGGATTACTTCTCGTATAATATCCACGTAAGATGAATGTTGTCAATGTCTGAATATTCTAAATCTGCGACAAAAATGTAGTATTTCAATTAGAGTAATGACTAAAAAATAAGACAATATAATTTCTCTGTCCCTAGCAATTCTATACAGCTTATTCGATTGTAGGATAATCTCCAATAGATTTAAAATGATATCCTAAGTTTTTGATCTGCAGAAATAACTCAATTTAACAAGTTATTTCCATCCATTTTTGAGAATTTATCAATCATCAAGAATGTAGATTTGAAATGTAACGCAAAAATATCCTTATTTACAGTTATTACAATCAAGTGTTAATATTTATCATTTATTGCAAACCAACTACTGTATTATAACGATTGAAGTCATAACTGTACATTAGCGAGCACTATTGGACTGATATTCTTCATTTAGATAAAATTTTGATGTAATAACATCATACATGCATGAAATTGGGAAATGATTGAGCCATACAGCTTTTATGATGCTACTTTGTCTAACAATAGATTTCCTTGTTTTAATGGCCGACCATATTACTATGATGTCACGGTGCTAACTCACCGTACCAAAATAGTACATGCTTTGCGGCTACAATGATATTGTAAGCCGAGGAGATTACGTAACCAGATATAGATTGTAGACGGTACGATTTAAATTGTGATGTGTTAAAGGTCATTTATATCTATAGTTGGATTAGTAGTATTCTAAGAGGTGTGTAAAAAAGCTGTAGATAAAATCTATTTAAACGATTGGACAAATTAATAACAGTTAGTTCTTAGTTCCTAAGGTTAGAAGTATAACGGAAATCGAAGGCGTACGAATTATTGCGAGATCGTAGATTCGATCACAACGTTATCTTGTCACACGGGAGTTTGTGACATATGAATATAAACTTATATAAAATATTTAAATAACATCAACTAGATACTAGCAATAATAAGGATGAAATAAATATGTATCTAGTAAATAAAATACCGTACGGAATCATCAATTCTAATGATCATTGGCCTTTGCCATGTTGCTAATATTTTTTCTACCGAAAGCTAGAACGCATGTTATGAGAATTTATATTATTTAGGAAGTAAAATTGCTCACCCGCATCTTTTGGCATAATAATTGTAGTAAAGCGGTATTTTACTGTAATTATAAAGGAGTATGAAGAAAATAATTCTAATCACTAGTTGTTGTCGGCTTAGTTAATCGTAGCATTGCACATCTCGTTAGAAATCGGAGGAATGAAGCCTAGAATGAGATAGTTTATAGACTAGTACACCAGTAATTATAAATACGTAAATACACCTTTGCCTTACTACAGGCGTGATATTGCTTTAGTAACTGCACACAGTAGATTATAGAACTTATAAATTAGGACACACATATTTTTTAAGATCGTTCAATCATATCGTAGATAGTTGATTGAATTTTTGTTATTGTTTATTTTTTATGATCAAATCCATCAGGCTAAAGTTCTAATTTAGGGAAATCAAGACAATTTTTTCTGTTAAGGAATAAATAGCCAAAATAATTTATTCTGCCTAGTTTTACTTAAAGTTATAGGCTATATCGAATTTAATAATTGCCTGAATTCTGATCATTGTATGGCTAAATAATTCGAAAGCCTATGATTGCACTTGCAAAGTTTACTGATAATATTGCATTCTTATAGAAATACTGATACAGAAAGCCTATGATCTGTTACTGAAGTTTCAAAAGTTCCAATAATGATATAACATACAATGTATAGCAGAATACTTAGTGGTTGGTATTATAATATACTAGTATAAATTCACGTCCCTTTGCTGACGGGTTACGATAATGTACTTATTTGTTAATAATTAACAGATAGTATTACCATTCGACATAATATATATCCCAGTAATAGCCAGGCACTACTTTATTCACAGCAATGCTTGTAGAATACTACTTTTCAATAATGACTTGATGGATGAAATGCTATATTAAGATTAGTAAATGGTCCAAAGCACATTATGATAACTAATGTACGGTGATGGACATACCAAGTTAAGATTAGCAGGTACTGTAAAAGATATCTACAGTGCGGTACAATGTCCTTAGTACTGTGGTCAATTTTATACCAATCATTATGATGTGTCTAACGATAGCTTGAGTATGCAAGCAAAGCTTGCTCTGTCGAAAGCAGCCGTTATAAGAAAATATAACAATCAAAATGGCTGTGTAGAAAACTCTGTAAAGATTCTATGTTTATTCAATTTTCATCAGAGTATTACATCGAATCAAAATTTAAAGGCCCAGTGGCCACCCTTAACGATATAACGAATACTATTTTAATAATCAGTACTCTACAGAAATTACTACCTTAGAGCTATTCGTTTTACATGAAGAAATCTTGAGGTAAAAAGTACTGTAAGAATCTTATACTGACCTATTGAAATGAACCCATAATCAAAGTCATCTAACAGTAGTATAAAAACACCCCCGCGCTGATCGTTTCAAGGGATGGTAGGTGGAATTATACCCTGACAACATAAGCGGTAGACAGCTCGATCCCAGACTGTATTCTCTTGCAAATGTAGTATCTTTGATGCTATGATGCTTCTAGGAACTGGTACTGCCATCTTATATTTATCGTTGGTACTATATTACTTTATATAAAGCCCATTTTTCTACACCTATGTTACAAGTTGAGTGTGATAAATTCAGATTATTTATCATCATATTGCAGTCTGTTATGGTCATCCATACTCTAGCTGAATACAATCGATTTTACGGCTTCTACTACAACACATTTATCGTTAATATCTTTTCATTCTACGATACTACCCAGTTTTATAATAGCAGATCTTAATAAAAATAGAATAAGTTTTTAGTATTTTATTTCCAACATTAAGTGCTTCTATTAATTTCCCTACAGAACTTAGAATGAATAGAGAAAGAATTGTAATTTTACATACTGACACGAATGCGAGATTACTATCATCACATTATCAGTACAATTTTGTATCTATACTGATCTATCACTTATTCGTAGAGGCAGGCATACAATTTTTATCATAACTTGGTCGAAAGAAAATTTAAGGGAATAATAATTCAATTAAGCTGATAAATACAACTAAAAGCTAATTAAGTACGGTAAAGATTGTGTATAAATGTCGTATATCAGCTAACTGAAGTTTTATAATGGTTCATCTCATCGTTAGGATTTATATCGGCAATATGGTTGCTGGTAAAGATTAAAAATTCTAATCCTAATTCTATATATGCGTATCCGTATTGACAATTATAATTCTTTATTTAGGTCGTCAAGTAATTAAGAGTCTTACCTTATTTATAGGAATGTCGTAAACGAGCACTATTACTTATTCTAAAAGATCAAGATGGCATTCAATCGAAGTATTAAACTATCATACTAGCAATTGTGATCCTATAAAACGGAGTTTATGCACTGTAAGGTAGTTGACAATTATGGTTAAATAGACGTCTAACTTAAGCTGAACAGTATATTTGATGATGGAGAAAGTTGCGTTGACTTTTTCTTTTTATCGCTTCCCGACTTCTTAATGCCGACTTTATTAAGTCGGTTACTTACGCTATTGTTGCCTGTTAATATTTCACTGTCACTTGGTCCCAATGGCGGCGCGATAGAAGTTCTGGAAAAAGTGACAGCTACGTCTACGCGTTGAGAATGCTCGGGCTGCACTTTTGCACCCGCAGTATCCAGTTCTCGATCAACTTGAAATTCAGGAAGCGGTTTGGATGATCGATATCTATTTGATTGTGAGTATTCATTTGTATCAGTTTTTGTACTAAATTTAAAGCGAAAGTGTTGCAGAACTTTCTTGGTTGATAATGTGTAAAGAAATGGGTTAATGCAAGAGTTCATCGGCATAACCAGAATAGCAATAAAAGGAAGTGCATGGATATCAATCTCATTTCCGAAAACGCCACTTATTAATAGGACATAAAATGGCATCCAAGTGGCTAAATCAGTTGTTAAAATAACTAGCATTCGGATAGCAACACGCTTTTCATAATTAAAGTCTGATTTCTTTTTCACTTTCAATCTTGCTTTTCGTAGCGATGCTAAAGTTAGACCGTACATAATTAGAATAGCTATCCAAATCAGAAATGACATTCCTAAAACTACAAATATCCAATTTGCAAAGTATGGGTTATTGATATTACTAGGCATACATACACTACTGTATTCATAAAATCGATTGTCAGATTGTTGGTTAATACTTGCTATGGCTGGTATTCCAACACATACAATACACAAGCTCCAGGATGTAATCATAGTTATAGTAGCACATTTCTTGGTAATTTTAAACTTTGGCATAACAAAAACGATATTGATAAAACGATCCACTGTAATGATTAACATTATGACTACTGACATGACACTAGAAATTGCAGTTAAGAAACAAGCTAAAGCACACATTGGACTTTGCAGCCAGTATTCTAAATTACTGGCATAGCGATTGTGTAGTATGCCATCTGCAAAACCAATAATGAGCAAGTAAATACCCATGAGGAGATCAGCAGATGCTAAGTTATTTACTAAGAGCTTGGGTACAGGATTACGGCACTGCTCTAAGGTTTTGTTCACATAAAGTGTCAAGATGTTGCCAATAATGATCATACATGATGTACACCACACAAAAATGCGTAAAGAAACATGGGCTAGGACATCATTACAGGTTGATAATTGCTCTTGATTATTAATGGGGGAGCAGTCTAGGACTGTAGTTGGAGCTACACAGCATAAAAATTCACGCGTTGAGTGCCTATAGAATGGATCAAACAATAAAATGCATATTGATATTAAATATAATTTTCTATTTCTCAGTACTTTTAATGTAACAAAGATTTGCTACTGAATAGAAATATTTTTGCTAATATTTCAGTCAAGACTTATAACATGAATTAAAAGGTCTTGCTTATATTAGCAAAAGAAAGCTATTTTACTAAAAGGAATCAAATGAAGGCTTTTAAGTGAAACTCAAAGACTTTATTGGTTTAAAATTATCACAGGTATATTTTGTATGTCGCAGAGGGATACAAGTTGCAGTTAAAATGCGATTTATTTTAATATAATAATTTCAGGATTCTACGGTAAATTCTATCTCATTATAGGTGACTAATTGCTGGTTTAATTTGGAATAATTTGGAGTGATTAAGTTGATAATCTGGATCCACTAACTGCTCTTGCAGCATATAAAAGGTGGTGTAGCTCAGTAGTAAAGGGGCAGTGAAATAAAAAGGTAAAGGTTGGGATATTCCTAAAATCGTGAACAATCTCCTTTATTTTGATTCTTTGGTTGGTTAAGCCAGTAGTTCCTCCCTTTTTAAGTTTTCTAAGTAATTTTGTGAGATTATTATTAACAATTTCAGCTAACTCGTGTTTTCCCTAAACTTAAGTTGAAATTTAATGTTGTTAGGTTAAGTTTAAGTTGACCGTTGATTCTTTAACTTAGGATTATCCAAAATATCATACTTTAATGGCATCTCATGTCTTGTTAGTATCCCATCATGTAATACTATTCTACACATGCAAGTGGCTAAAAACGTAATAACAGGCAATGAAAACTTTCATCTTAGCTATTTAATTAGTAGCATTATCGAATAATTTTGCTAACGATAATCATTCCCATCACCGACATATTTTAGTTTACTATAAATAATATCGTTTAGTTTCATTGTTACTCAATCAAACTTACAAAGTATATAGGCTAGTTAATCCATTAAAAATATCTTGATTAAATTCCACTAGTAAATTTCTCTCTAAATGCCTAAAGTAATCGATAAAGGTCCAGTACAGATTATTTCTTACGTATATAACAAATCTTAATGAATGACGGTATACAATGTATAAAATTTCAAATATGATTCTCACACTTCGAATTAAAAGTATTACTAGATAATAGCTTACAGTTCCTTCAGGTTACTCAGAATTGAAAAGCAGTTTGCGTCCAGCTTTCGAATATTATTATCTGATAAGTATCTGTAAAATGGTAAGGACTATTTAAATTTTCATGTTAATCCAATCCATTATAGAACTTTACTTCTACTATAGAAATCGTCTATTTAAAGTATTTTGAGAAAATTATATTCCTAAGTTCGAATTTTTAATATGAATAGCGCCCTAAAACATTACATTTACTGCAATCTTATCGATCATACGTACAAAGTTTCGAGGTAAAAAAATCCCGTAAATGTTTTACCACAGACATCACTCATGAAGTTATTTCCCATATATCTAGAAACAAAAGCAGCAAATTTATGCTAAACTAATACAATAATTTTTTAATTCAATATACGTTACTCTTTCATTCATGGAACATTTTTTATCGAAAATTGTAGTATAAGCTAATTAGTAAGTACGGCATTCTAAGAATAGAATGTTGATACTAAGCTTAATCAGATTAGTTATTTATCATTATACCGTTATAAAACAGCTTTACAAAATAACTTTACATGTGATCAATAAGTCATTTCTCAAAACCACGTATCCGGGAATAATGTCTACTCTATCTGAAACTTTTTCTCTACTATCAGAAAAAATAAAGACTTGGGCTCCTCGTATTGCACGCTAACCACTAAATTTAATGGCTAACTATGTTATACGGTATGCCTTGTTCATATACTCTTCTACAATAGTTCAGACATCTCAGTTAGTAATATTAATTAGGAAGCCTTCCGATGAATCAGAAGCTAACTTTACCTACTACTAACTAATGAAGACAACAGTATATATATAAGAACATAGGCATCTAATGACTAACACAAAATAGTCAGATTACAATATATAATTGTTACGGAGCAAAGCACCGTACTTGCTAATTAAATAGATTTTGTCAGTATTTAGCTAATACATCATATTGGTAAGCATAATTGAAATTAAGAATATTAATGTCTAGATTGCTAGACGACAAAAGGCATAATTGTATTTGCAATTAATTAGTAGAACCTATATACAGTAGATATTAATAATGGCGATACGTTAGCACCCGCTACGTACGCGCGATTATCATGCATTTATCGTGCAATTATCGCGCATTTATCGTGTGATTATCGCGCATTTATCGTGCGATTATCGCGCATTTATCGTGTGACTATCGCGCACTTATCGTGCGATTATCGCGTATACAAATCATGTAAATCTTATATTGTGAAGTTACTATGTGTGCACCATAAATTTAGTGGAATGGTATAAAAGGACGAGCGAATGCTCAGTTCCTGAGTTCCTTATTAGATCGTGTACGAGAAGGTACTCGGCTACTCTACTAATAAAAACTATACTAATCTTTTAGAACAGTCTTATCCCTGTGTGACCGAAAGTAGTAAAGAACTACCATACAGTAGATCTCCAGGTGTAGTGGAGCAAGGCATAAGTAATCTATTAGTTTAGTGTAGTAGTTCGCAACATAAGTTTGTGACAATCCTATCATGGAACACTTTTCAAGATAATATAAAACCTTCTATACTCTAATCTCAACTATACAGCATATAATACTGCAATAGATACAAAGCCTTAAATTTAATGAATAAAATACAAGGTAGTTATCATAAACTATTCAATAGTGAGGATTTTAGGGCACTATTGTGTATACATATGGCCTAAATTATTCAGATTCTTTAATGAACTTACAGTATTCTAGCTTTGGCATATCCACTTCTTGTGTCTTTGTTAATTGCAGTGATCTTGTTGTGATCCAAATAGCTATGATGCAACAAAAATATGAGTAAATATATTTAGGAAATTTGCTTTAATGCATTCATGCAATTAAAACTAAAAAATTTAAATCCTATTACAGTTCTTAGTCCTTCAAGTTTACGTTATACCTACATTGCCTGTAAAGACAAAAGATCTGAAAAGTAATAGGCATTAATCTCCATTATTTGGTTATAGCTCAGATATCTGTCAACGTATCAGTAGATAAAGGGTTAATTTTTGATCTTTCTTTAATTAACTTAATAGCTAATTAGTAAAAATTGAGATTCTTATTTCTTGGTCAAACATACAAGCTCCTTAATGATATGCTCTGTGCAACAAACATACTATGATCCAAATGGGACAAATTATTGTTACGCAAATCTCTGTTATTATAAAACATAAATTCATCTTTGTTAGAACTAAGGAGTCGATATGTATGTTACATAAGGCATTCTATCTATTTTATAAGTTAATATGGAATAATTTAAGTTTATTGCATTTTTTCTTCTTACAATGACTTTAATTCTTTCAATGGCTGGATAAATTCTTTTACATTGCTCGATAGCAGGTTATTTCGACTTAAATTTCTAATTTAATTAAAGCCAATATTTTAGAAAGAATATCTCATTAAATGTCTGAAATATAAGCATTCTAAAATAGATTACACATTTACAGTACTTCTATAGTCATACTCCTTTAATATTGTAGATTAACGAATCATTTTTCAGCCTTGATAAAGTAATATCAAGTAGAGCATTTTTTGTAAAATTCTACTTTATTACATGAAATTAGTTCATCTAACATTACTATCTACCTTCAGTCTAAGAATTTCTGACTTATTATTTTAAAATCTACAATTTACATTCTTACAATCAAAGTTTGAACTTCAATTATCTTTATACAATCCTATAATTTTTATCTTAAGATAACTTGGAGCTGCATTACTGCAATATTTAGTTGTTTAATTACTTATGAAGCTGAATTATGAACTACTATAATATAAAGTAGAGATACAACTTAAAATACAAATACTTTTTGGCCTTTGTTATATATTTAGATGATAACAGCACTTCTGAGAATTTACGTTAGACTACTGGTACTAAGATTATGAAATTATATTTTATTATAGGTATGACATAATTTTGCTGTATGTTCTAATAAATATGAATATACTTATTCTACTTGTAAAATCATAAGTCAACTAAACCACAAGCTAAGCAATCTTCGAAATGTATAAATACAATTAGCTGATTGATCAATAAACAATTCCTGATTAATGGTATTCTAAGCTGCTACGAGCATAATAGCCTTCAATACAACATTAGAAATTTTTTCCATTTATACAAAGTAGCAAGTATTATGTTATTATTCTTACAATCTTTCCAAGCTAATCTCTTTTGAGAAAACATCCGCTTCTAACAGTAGTATTTGATTGCCGGCAAGATTACTAGTAACCCAGAAAAATGTAGTATTAATTCATAAGATTTTTCAGACTTAGAAATTCAATATACTTCATGTAATTACATCAAATATTGAAATTAGATGCTTAGGTAAGCTTTACGAATATGTAAATCTGATAAATTACGAAATATATTGGTATTCATGACAAAAGTAAATATTTGTTATGATATCTTACAGATTTTTCAGCGTGGATAAAGGTGGTAATCTTATATGATTAGATTGCAGGTCGCCTGCAATATCCAGGCTATTGTAACTTATATCTCTTAAAGAAAATAAAAATTTAGAACATTAATAGAAAGCTAGCAGTTTAAATTATATTAAGACAGAGGAATAAAATGTCTCATGTTCTTGAAATATAAACGAAACATATCCTCATAATTAAAGTCTGTTCATTCATCAATGCTCATTTACAATGTCTTAAGAAGTGGCAATTTCTCCATGCAATTAGTGGCATTTTGACCTAAGTTGCTATTGCCAAGATTCCTAATTAAAAATCGATCAATGTTATTTAGGATAATGATCACTTGCTCTCCTAGCAATACATTTCTGAATATAAATGAGTCAAATTACACTCGTAATCGCACATCGATTACCATAAACTCACATGATAAATAAGTCAATCAACGGCTCTACCACGGCACATTGTATGTGGTGCATATTGTTGCCCACTAAGTTACTTTATTGGAAGAAAGGGTATCATAGATTAAAAATAATTGACTGTCTTAATAAACATTATGAACTGTACCAGCAAATCGTGAATCTTATAATTTGAAATTGAAGCTCATTTTTAAATAAAAGTGCTGCTATAAGGCATCAATGTGTTTAGAAATTTTATGCGTACGAGAGCGACATAAGTTATTAATGCTAAATCTAGGAAAAGTCGCCATTCGAAAATTTTCATTTTATTAATATAAATATGTATCCAATGCTATAACTAAGAAGCTTTATTTCAAAGCTGAGACTTCATATGTAACATAATGTAAGACAGCCGGTTTACACATCTATTAGTATTATGAACATTGAATTAGAAATGACGATAACGATAGTAACTTATCTGCATGTAGAAAATTTCTATTTAAATGGAGTCTTTCTTAAATGAAGTATCGACTATGAATAGTTCTAATTTTTTATTTTTCGACTGCATGACTTATTTTATTGAACAATGTCTATTGCAGTATTATTAATAAATCCTGCTGTATCTCGAGCTGTGAGAATTATATAAATTGTAGCATGTCTTTGAATACACTTTTTAGATAAGTAAGAGCAAGCAAGAAAATCATTTGCGCAACGCACTATCGTCCAACCGTGTTTAAAATAGATGAATTCACGCATTATTAACTTTCTACTTTGTAAATTTTAAGCAATTGCATTACTTACAGCTCTTCTAGTATCTCTAAGCCTTGAAAAGCGTCAACTTGGACATCGCTAATGTTATTATGACTAATGTCTCTGGTTTTATAGGAAAGAAACAAAGAAAAGGATCAAGAGATAAAAATGAAATATGAGAAAAGAGATCGATTATAAAACTAAAGATTAAATTGAAACAATATTTGCATTATTAAAATAAAATCATGATTAGTTTTTACGTTTATAATGTGTCGTATCTAGCCACAACTGTAAGATATAGTATTTACATGGAGTGCTGATGTTGCATCCATATACGAAGATATAGCGAATAGCCTTACTTAGATGTTATACCTGATATGTCTTAACAACACAAAATGTGTCATGATTACTTGTATATAGATATATTATGATATAAGAATGGTATTGTAATGCTAATTATGGTTACTATAAGTTATTAGATTAATTCCATACTGAATTCCGTTGACAATACTACGAACCGTCGTATTGATTTTGTTTTTGTTATTGATTAACCTCTAACGCTATATAAGTAGATTCGCTATCCCTCTCAACTAAATCCTAAATTTTAAGATCTGTGATTTGTTGTACGACTATTATTACTCAGTTTAAAATAACAATTGTTATTTGAAATATTATTAAGAAAGAAGACTTCATTACAGATGGTTATCGTGATTTTATACATACAAGATTTTAAGAGATGTCAAGTTCTTAAAGCGACAACCCTTTAATGTTGCCAAGTAATTTTGGGCTAAATTTCTATTAAATGGATAAAACTGGGTTAAAATATCAATTTTCAATTTACTTGATATAACTATGATAACATTTTCATGAGTAAAATATAACATATATCTTATTAGCTAATAATAGCTAAACTTAGATACTTACAGAGTTCTTACAGTTCGAAGATCATCAAAATAATGATTCCCTATTTCTATCATCTTATTACGGCTGAGGTCTCTTAGATAATTAAATCATTAGAATTAGCTTAAAATAATTTAAGATGGCATAGTTGTTAATCTTTACTGTAAAAGTAAAGCATAAGAAGTTTATCTCACAGTTTAGTAAGTTTAACTAAATCCTTTGCGAATCCGAAAGCCAGGGAACGTAATTTATTGCTGCTTAAATCCCTAAGTATTTAATGATGTGTTTGTATGTTACACCTAACGACAATTCTCATAAAGCTTAATCGGTACCATAAAATGATTTAAAAAAATCCGCTATAATATGATAAAGAGTGCAATATAATGGATATAAATGCAAAGAAAAATCTGAAACGGTTAGCTATTGGACTAAGCTGATCAATATGAATAAATATTATTGATACAAAATATGGTATTAATTATGTAGTAAAAAAATATATATAACATAGGATATTCTGGATAATATCTCAAGAGTTTGCTAAGACTAAACGAAATTATGCAATATCCTGGTCTATAACTAATACCACATTTCATAATGTTAGAAGATTTGAACGTATATTTATCTTCTGTATGGCTAATATAAGGTAGTATTGTTATTTGTTTTTAAGCGATAAGCTATGCGACAATAATGATACTGCTATAATTCTAGCTACTTTATGTGAAATGCAATGTGGCGAATAATTTAGATAAAATTCTGATTTCTGATCTTCTAATCTTATTAATCATTTATTATTTCGCCATCAAAACGATTTTTTGTTTTATCATTATGTATAGTTATTCATGATGAAGATGCAGCAATGCAACTATTACTTACAATATTTCTAAGGTTCTTAAACCTGAAAATGAACCTTCATGGATTGTTTCAATTTCATTTTTAGACAGATATCTAGGTAACAACATTGAGATATACTAAGCAAGCTATTTCAATCTATTTCTATAACACCAAATTAATTCTATATTGCCAAACACAGAAAAGGCATACTTCAAGAGTAATCGTAAATAAGATATATGCGATAATATTTAAGATATGATAATTTAAGCTAAGAATTTCTGGAAAAGACTTACAATTTTTTAAGATTTCCTTGCCTATAAAACTGATTGTCTTCAATATATTTGATTTTATTTTCAGTCAGATTACTACAAATAATGAAGAAGGAAAATTTCTCCATATGCTTGTTACTAATTAACACTTCATTAGAGTTTCATAACAAAATAACAATGCCCTTACAGTATTTTTAAAGCTGCCAAATGCTTCAAAGCCCTATTTGGAATAGAGACAATTTCTGAAGAGTTTAAATGACTAAACAAGCAAATATCCGGAGTTAATTTGGATCTAATTAAATGTCTAATGAGTTTTGTCATGCTAAAAAAGTTATGTTTATTGTTATTAATCTTACATCTCTAGTAGGTGAACCAAATTTAAGAAAATTTCGTCTTGTATATTTTTCATATCATTTCCACTAATGTCTCTGCAATAAGTTAGATATTTACAAGCAAATTTTGATGATCAGATGACTTCTATTACGGAAATCATTTAAGAGCAGAACAGTTTTGAAAAAAATGCGTTTTAAGTTTTTATTCAATCAGTCATTTAACTATAATCCGGTATCGCTGGATGATACTTACATCATTTCCAACCGTTGCAATGCAATAAACGTGTTAGAGTTAATTTCGTTAATTTTATTACCTTTAAGCAAGCTAGAATAATTAAATTTTATCATTCATTAGAAACTTGATTAAGATATAGTGTTTTCGTGAGCCCGAATGGAATAGGGCCAATGGCCTTTAGAACGATCGTAAATCAACAATTTACTTTATTTATAAGTGAAAATATAAATTTGTCAAATTTCATCGAAATTGGCTAGTAGATTTGCTCAAGATTTGCAAATTTGACCTAAAACATGATCGCAATGGATCTTCATCGTACATAAAGATATATTCTAGTGTACTCTAGTACTTTTAAAGGTTATAATATACGGTGAATAAGGGCAATATTGTATCAGCTAATCGCACTAGGTACATAAAATAATTGTTTAGGTTACTACAAAGCATTTCTAATGACTGTCTTTGGAAAATTTATTATGCCACTTCCAAATACTGTTAAATATTAAGCAATTAAGCGATTTACAGCAGTAATAATTTTATTATAATCTATAGTAACTACATTTAATTCTATTCTTCTAAAAATAAGTAAATATTATATCTCAAGGAAATCTTATTATTACTTACAGGTGCGTTAAATGCGGTAAACTAACAAAATAATCCCGTATTTTCTTGAGTGAATTAAAGGCCAAATTACTAAATCGGAAATGATAATTAATTATAGATCTTGAAGACGTAGATTTTATGGCCAAAAAATAATCTAGTATATGCAATGGCACTCTTACAGTTGCTTAAGACTTAGTAATCCGTATAACATTTTCTCATTTATAATGTCAATACGATTTCGTTGAAGATTCCTAAGAATAAGATGCTATTTTTCAAATTTTACCAATAACTGATCAAAATATTCAATACATAATAATTAATGACTAATCAACTTTCAAAAAGTGCCACTCTGAAAACCGATCCTTCTACAAATGCAACCTCGAATATTATTGATACAAGCTGTAAATCCTACAGGTTCTTACAACTCTAGAAGATGCGATGAGGAGTAAAGAAAATAGTCTTCTATGTTCGTTATGTTGTTATCGTTGAGATTACTATGTTTAGAATAAAAGTCAAAAATTTAATTCCAGTTGAACTTGACGAACTACCAAATTATATTCACTAGAACATCTAAGATCATCAATTAAAAGCACGTAATTTCCGGTGGTCGGAAGTAAATTTTCATTCAGAATATTTTGCATAATTAAAATGAAAACATCAGATACTAAAAGATCCCTAATTGGACAATACAACTCAGCATTTTGGTGTGGCAAATTAATATTCTTAATGTCTTCTTGCGCCTTTATATCACATTATCAAATGGCGTTATATTACTTCGAATTCAAAATAATGTAACACAGCCATAATAAAAAATAACGAAGCCAAATAGATCTTTATTCGTAACCTACTAGATTTAAGTATTGACTAAATATCTAATGGAAGTTGCAGTTTAACAATTGTAGTTTCATCATAGTTAAAGTACTAGGTTATCTTACATTTTTCTTAAGAATTTTAGAGGCGAAAATTGATATCTAGTCAATGTTGTCAATCTATTTCGAGATAGATCGCTAAAATTAAAAATGTAAGAAAATTTAGAAGATAAACATTTTAGTTGCAATTCGTGAATCTAATTTTACAATATTTAGTAATTACACGTAAGATCTTACAGAAATTGAAGCCTGCCTAAACCTTGAAAACATTTTTCTTGGATGGCAAAAATTCGATTTCGAGACAAATCCCTAATCATTTCGATTTAAAATATGGATATATTAAATAAGTTAACCTGAATCGCTAGCAAATAATAGAAATTTTTTGCTTACTCTACTTGCACAGTATTCGTTTATAAAATATAATTATCAACGACATTTTTAAGCTATTTTATGCTTTGCTTTAGGTGAATGTGTGAATTTTGAAAGGACAGTTATGCTCAATTATAGTATGTCTGTAACATTATGATCTTATATAGAAGATGCCTAGTATAGTAATATCCTAATATACGAATACTTATCATATACCGTTTAAGTACTGTATTGTATTACATTCATAATGTACGACATCATGACTACATATAGACGACATGCTATACATATAAAGACATTATCTCAATCCCATCTAAAACCTATAAATACCCTTGTACGCTAACTCGTTAGTCAGTTCCTACATTCCTGCTATCTCAAATACCTTATCTATAACAACCATATCATTGTTAGCCTGTAACTTGTATCTCAATAAAATCCTTTATACCTTCTATCATCGTCTACCTTAAAATACTTTACGCTACTTAAAGAAGATATCATTACATGTCTAGATAAATAGATATTCGCAAAATCAATAGTTTACTCACAGATTATTTAGATTTTGCATCCCTGTAAAAGCATTAGCTTGCAATTCTTGAATATTATTTCTAGTTAAATTTCTATTTGATTTGACAGATAATGTTAATGTTTGTAGTCAAGTATTTTTTAAATGGTCAAATATTTAATGAACTGCACGCTAAACAGATTTAATATATGTGTAATTACAATTTAAGCATTGAATGCATTCTGTTAAAGGCACCAACTTCTATGTTTTGGATCTTGTTTTGAGCTAATGACCTAAATAAATTTAATGCGTTATTTAAAGTGCAAATAAGAACTGATTTCGACACAGTAATTACTGTAGCTAATTTTTCGCATACAATTCCGTTAAATTGAGTAAAGATGAAAATTGATTCTCGTGCATTCTAGTCAAAAGATTTCCTTGCAAATACCTTTAAAACAATAAAAACAGCATTTAAATATAAAAGTGAATAAATTTTGAGAGAAAATATGTTCTATGGTGCAAAGATACTTTACTCTATGCCTACAGCGTTAATATTCTCTAGTTCACTCACAAATATTTCAAGTCTTCTAATTTGCTGAAGGATTCTACGTCTAAGCTAGCCAGTCGATTAGCTGAGAAATCCCTATGTTATATCATTATCATAATAACAGGTCTATGTAAGGGGATTATTCCGTATCGATTTTCTTAATTCAATGGTAAACAACTAATAATGTCGTAAAGGTCATACAATGTCTGTAGTTTCGTTAAACCAACAAATTGATGTGCTTTTAACTTGGCGATTATGTTTCCGCAGATAGACCTAATCAATACCATAATTTAAATTAAAGCTACTAATTTGTCATATTAAATTATAAAAAAATTTAGCATTAACGGCTCAGTTGTGTCTTGCTTCTTACACTTGTGTAACAACTTACAAGGATTTCAAGCTATGCAATGCTACAAATGCTGAAGGATCTATCGTTGAGATTATATTTCCGCATAAATTGCTATAATTCCGGGTATAACAGTCATAATTTAAAAAATATGATTGATAGAATTCAGGATTGATACAGCTTTTGAAATATTAAGAAGGATAGATTACTGCTAAATAAGCTATTGGTTATCGCTATAGTGTCCTCGTAGTTCTGAAAGTGCATTTTATTAGCGCTTAGAAAAAGTTTGCTCTACTGAGCTTATTCTTTAGAAGAAGTGTCATTATATCGGATATTGATAATGTTCTACGCTTAAACGTTACGTCCATTTATACTTACAGAGTATCTAATTTCGATAAGCCGATGAATGCAGTGTATTCGATATGTTCTAGCTGATTTTGATGCAAATATCTGTATGCGAAGGAATTAAACGTAGAAGCATATCACTTATGTCTATAGAAAATACCCAGCACGTAGCATCTATTTTAAATAACCAACCCTACAAATAATATATCGTATATATGTTCTAGCAAGCTTAATTATCCTTACAATGATTTCAATTCAGTCAAATGAATAAAGGATAATGCGGAAATATTTCTTAAAATATTCCTGGATATGTCCCTATCCGAAATTTACAACGGTTAGAATGCTAAATCGTACTAAGTAAATTCATAACGATTTTCAACGAATTTAAGTTCATCTTACAAAATTTTCAATCTTTCCAAGTGCATCAAATTGTCTTTCGTTATATTTTCTAATAGATTTCCTGATATGCGCCTAACATTTTCCCAAAGAAATACAATATTAAATTTTTGGGAAATAAATAATCAAATGCAATCACATTATTAATTATTTTCGAAAAGTTAAACTTCTAAAAACTAAAAACTAAACCATTTTCTACCTTAAAATCTCATCAATATTGCCTAATATACAATTAATGCACGGTTGCAAAGGTACTTATAATAGTATAATATTACTACTTAAAATTCTTTTAGAGCAATATATTTGCGGCAATTACTAATAGGATATATGAAGCCATTGCTAAGAATATTTCAAGCCCATTATGTCAATTATATATATATCATTTGCAGTCGCAATTGAATTTAGTCAACTGCTATAATTGTAGCGATATAACATTTCATACAATTCTTCAAGATTATGCATGGATTGAAATGCGTCTGGATAAATTTTCTGTATTCGATTATTGGCCATGATTCTATCCAAGTAATGTAATGCATGAATGATAAATTTTTCCAAAAAATATGATTTAAATAAAGCAATGTCAATACTGTAGCAAAATAATCGTATCAGTGTTTAAATAGGTAGATAATTGTAATAAATAGAATATTAAATTAATAGACCTTACAGCGTTTTTAATACGGTTAGGTTACCGAAGACTTCTTTCTGAATCTTATAGATGCTATTAAATGCCAGATTACTTGTAGTTTGAAGTAAATAATAAAGTTCAGTAATATGATATATATGAACGTATATAAAAATAAAGTCATAGAACTCGGTATTCAAAGTTAAATACTTAAAAATTTGCTCATGCGTTCGACTCCGTGTGATATATACCAATCACGAAATTCCAAATTTTAGAAAAATAAGGGCTTTATTGAATCTTATACAAAGATTAACTACACAGCTCTACTCTAGCCGAATACTACTTCTAAAGACTTCTACAACGAACTAACTGAATAATCTAAAGTTGCATGCTTTTATACTTCCCGTAGCATTCGCAGCTACAATCCGCATGGCAACCTTTTACCTTATTTTACACATAGTTAAATTATTCTTAGTAAGACTATTCTACTACGGACCATCATTAATCCAATATGGATACGACTACAGTACTTACGTAGACATTATTCACACCAGCCAAAGTACAATGAATTAACCATATCCTAATATATGATTTACAGTTCTATTTTTACCTATAGCCATATTAGGAACTCAACAGCTTACTGTATATAGTCATCTGTACTCTAGCATAGCGTCTCTACCACTACAGTCTATAGTTACAGCTACCAAATATCTCTTAGGATAAATATCTACCGTACATTGTACTACACATGGATAACAGTCTACAATCACAATACTAAGTTACGTTACACTCCGCTTACAGTTTTATTAAACTTGATAGTTTAGAAAAAGCTTCTGGCTCCAGAAATGTAATATGATTGTCATAAAGAGATCTAAAATATTTAGATAAATATAATAAGCACACTTAGGCATGCGATAGACTGCATAATTTGATCTACTTGTATTACATACCATTGACAAATGTATATCACCTATATAAACTACAAGTAAATTACTATATCATACAAGTCTATTAGCTTCTGTAAATGTTCAAATTGATGAAAGTGGATACTTATTAAAGAGTTTCTAGCTATAAGCCTTTTATAATGACCAACCAATCGATATTTATAGTGGACATTGATTATATCGAAAAAGAATAGCAGCATAATATTACTAAATTTGAAAACAAATTTTAAGTGCTGATATCCGATGAAAGGATTACCACAAAAAATACTTACACCGATTTCAGTTCGGTTAAATTAGTAAAGGTATGCACGTGAAAATCAGTTATATTGTTAGCATACAAGTTGCTGTAAAAGTGTAATTAAAAACATCTTATTGTTATGTAGCGAAATTAAAAACTAATAATTGGTAGTCCTTTAAAGTATTGAAAATTTACTATGAATTTAGTAAGCTAATCTAAACTTACATAACTTGAATCCGAGGTGATCGATGAAAACATTCCGAACATACATAGGCAATCCGATTATAACTTAAATCTCTACGGAAAAAATATCTCCTTAATTAGCATTTTACAATATATTGGATAGGAGTAACTTTAAAATTTCATTCCTAACATGCTAATAAGCTGAGTTAATCCATCAAAAGAATGATCATATAGGCTTTCAATGATATTATTAGATAAGTTCCTATAGAAGAGGAATGGTAAGTTTCTTATAATTCATATCTTATTGCAATAGTAAACATAATACAAAATATTACAGAAAACTTACAAAATTTTTAAGCGATTTAAAGATAAGAATTCATATGGCTTAATTTCCACTATCTTGTTATAAGTCAACTTTCTAATTGATTCAGCAATAATCATTATCATACACACAAAAAGCAGCATTATGAGGTTATCTAAGTCCATTAAATAAATATTTACAAATTCTGCAAGGATTTTAAACCATTTAAAGCTTTTTCTTGCATGTCGGTTATAATATTATTTGATAAGTCTCTATAAAGAATATAAAGTGTGATAATAAATTAATTTCTTTGTATGAAATATGATTATTACGGCGTCTTTACTTGACTTCGTTATGGTAATTATTGGAGGAAAGCAATAATATCAGAAAAGTGATATTTCTACAAATTTAAGTTCTTACAATATTTCTAGCTTTTCCAGAACATTAAACGTAAAATTTGAAATCTGTAATATTTTATTCTTTGATAAATTTCTACAATCAGTATTGAGTAGTTAGTAAAGCAAGCTGTAATTTTTAAAATCAAATAATTATTTTACTTCATACATACAGCTGTATAAGGGCAGCGAAGCCAAGAAATGTAGATTCACTAACTTCATTGATAATGTTAATCGAAAAATCTCTACAATAAGCATAAATTCATGAGCTGAAATACGTCCATTAACTTTTATAGAACACATTACGAATATTTGGTTGATGGCATAAAAATAAATTTAAAGTTTTAAATCTTTATTTACAGTAATGACAACAAGTTCGTTGCAGTAAGATTACTGAAAATTTCTAAAAATAAAATGCGGTAAAATCGTTCAATTACTTTAGCTACTGTATTAATTCCGCTTTACTCTAGGCAATGTTGATGAAGTAACATTAATATTAATTCATTCCCTTAAATCACCATTTTCTAAGTTTAATCATATCTGAAGAAAACTTCTAGAATTAAAGCTAAAGAGAAAATAAGTGGCAATTTTATTTAAAACTTAAAAAATTTTACAGTTATGATCTTACAGTATTCGTATGTTGTTTTGTTTTCTTCTCGTAGAACCAAGGTTGATTTCAGAGATAAGATTATGGCTAACATTCCTAGATGAGATTGGGTTAGACGCGAAGTGATCGTCACAATTTTCGATCAAATTCACATGTAATGGTCAAAAAAATTTATTCATTTGACCACAAGTATCAATAATTTACAGCTACTATAAGATTGTAATAATTTTAGTGGAATTATTTAGATTCTTACAATGCGAATAAGTTCGGTAAGAGGTCAAGCAAACTGCTATTTAAGGATCGGAGGCTGTTATCGCTAAGGTCTCTAATAAATGCCGTTAACAAGAGATATCATATTTGATTCATAATAATGTTAAATATGTTAAACTTATGGCATATTTACAAATATCCAAGTCCTCTTGTTTCAAATAGAAAGTTCTCAGGAATAACTTTGATATGATTACTACTCAAATTTCTGAAATGTGATCACGAGACTTTTAATTTCTTATCAAGTTATTGTCAAGCTTTTACTAAATATAGACATTATAAAACTTTTACGTACATAGTTTTCCAGTAGGAATTTCTGATGATCGGAAATTTCACTAGGTTATTACCGTCACAATGTAAGTGATTTCCGTTAGATGTACAGAATTTCGAATAATACGATATTACTATAAGGTAATGATCGTATTTGTTAGTGTTTTATTTTACAAGCAATAATTAGTTGGTTTTACGTGTTTAAATTTTGATAAACTTTCAATTTACTTATTTCATTAAGCAAAGCCGATACGAAGCTACATCTTTGATTAATCATAGTGTAATACCCAAAGAATAACACCAAGTATTTAATTATTTAATTCTGTCAGCTAAACCTATTAAAATATTCCTTATAATATTAGTTATTACCGAAATTAGTACCATTACTAGAGAAAGATGCATTTGATTTGAAATAATCCATCTCGCTGCAGCTCATGATTCCAGTTAATCTTACCGAACTTAAATTTTCGCATTCTAAATGGAATTAGAATCTCCTCTTTAATATCAATTATTTGTTAAATTCAGGTATGCTGCGAAAAATATCTTATTAGAGTACGATCATACATCGTATAAATATATCACAAACCAGCTCTTTGACAAGATAACGAAAATATTAAATCTACAATTCTTCTCCTAAACTATGCGTCAGGGCAATAAAATTCGCTTAAGAAACACTTATTAACACTTACTCTTAATTCTACAGATTCGTAGTGGTTTATACACTTTTTAATCTATGTTAAATAGTATAAAGCTATCAGGCTAAATGTCGCGAACTTCTCTATGGCGAGATTACACTGTGATAAACTACTTCTCACCCGGTGTTATAGAGCCGTGTACGAAGCATGGACTAGCTATTCCATTCTCTGATAATGAATGTTGCACGTCTGCATAGGGTAAATAATAGTTTATGATAGAAATTAATCCTAATTTGCTATAATAAATATAATCACAATACGAAATTCCATAATATAGAAAAATTAAAATTAAAATTCGATATAGCTACCGCAATACGCTTCGTCTGAACCGTCAGAACAGTCATTTTTACAGTTGCACCATTTACTAGTAGAAATAAAATTGTTTGAAAATATGCCACATGGATACTTGTAATTGTTATCATCATTTTCCTTTATTTGGCATTTAGCAACTGAAATCCAATAAAATGATCAGTTTTATTAATAATTAATAGTTTAATAATGGCCATTAACGGCGTTACTCTATACTTAATTGTAATTCCATCATACACCTTAAAACTATAATAGAAGTAAACGAAACGTTTGAATTTCAGAATGACAGCGTAAATAGTGAGATTTAGGAATAATAATCTCGGAAAATAAGGATTAAGAACATACTATTCAATAATAGTGTAACTACTTCAATGTAATACCTAACTGGTTTACAATATAAAGATTGTGAGCAGTGTCACTTAAGTTTTCAGAACTCAATATGAGAACAAAATTCTATGTCTAGAATTGCCTTCTACGAAGCTGAGATTAAGATACCTGAATCATAGACATTATTTATATTTATCTATTGCAATTAATTGGTTTTTATTTGACACTGTTTTCAAGGGATACATAGTTTACTCCTATGCAATATTCTAACACCAATAGCTTATCTTATAGTTTCTCTATACTATCACGCGACCAACAAAAAGAAGAAATGTATGTTTTATTTCTAAGCTGA